CACCTTGTTGCTGAAATTTCCATTCCCTGATGGAAAAGTCTTAGGCTGAAACTGCTGACCCTGAGATCCCATCTGCGCTGGATATACTTGATCCTGCGAATTCTCCACGTTAGTGCTTCTGTAAGAGAGGTTAGGATGACTCCTGTAGTTCTGATTGAACCCCTTATTCTGATAGTTTCCCTGAAAGTTATTGACGTAGTTCAACTCAGCCTGAAAATCTTCTGAACCGTCTCCACTGAACTCTTGGTATGCTTGATCTTCACCACTATCATCACAGTAGTTAACCATTCTCTGATCTCTCTTAAAAAGTTGCTCAACCTTGGCTGTCAACTCAGAAATCTGTTTTGATTCAGCTCCACCACTTCTCTGCGACCTATCATAATCAATATCCTGGCTGCTGTTGCTACCTGCAAGATTCTCAATCAACAACTCAGCTTCTGTATCAGATTTGGTCATGAAGTTACCACCACTACCAGTATCTAGTGCCATCCTGTAAACCTTATCACATCCTTGGTAGAACGTGTTGATAAGTGTGGCATGTGGAAAACCATGATGAGGACATTCCCTGTAGTCTTTGAACCTCTCCCAAGCATCATGGAAAGACTCCGTACCACCTTGCTGAAAGGTAGTGATCTTATTCCTCAGAAGAGATGTCCTGGATTGGGTGAAGTACTGTGTTAAGAAAACAGCTTTGTAGTCCTCCCAACTTCGCAGATTATCAAAATTCAACGATCTCAACCAACGGTGAGCCTTGTCAGCCAAAGAGAATATGAACAGCCTGCACTTGACAGCATCATCCGGCACCCCATTCATCTTTAATGTGCTGCACACATCCTCAAAGTTATCCAAATGGTAGACCGGATTCTCTGAGGCGAGACCGTGGAACTGATTCTGCTTCACTAGAGATACCAACCCGGTTTTGATCTCAAAGTCGTTCCTGGGAATAGGAGGATACTGGAATCTGTCATGATAATGTTCAGCATTAGGGGTATCATGATCTCTCAGTGTTTGTCGAACAGGTACAGGTCTTTGGTTCTGTGCTGCTAAACGTGCAGCTTTAGCTTGTGCAGCAGCATCAGCAGCAGCATCAGCAGCTTGTACAGCAGCAGCAGCTTGTACAGCAGCAGCAGCTTGTACAGCAGCAGCGTTCCCAGCAGGAGGTATTTGAGGAAGTTCTTGAAACTGATGTTGGTGACCGTCTTCAGCCATTTCAACAACTCTTGCTTGTGCTTGCTTTTTCCTTCTGTTTGCTCTCTCAAACTTTCCAATATCAGACTGGTATTCTGCGAGATGTGATGAGCCTTCGCTACGGGTCATACACCTGAAAAACACCACAGAGAGGACAAAAGTGATAATTAGTAACTGTAAAAAATAATGCTCTAGGCTAAAAACTAATCCTAAATCTTTAGGTAACGCTATTGCTCGCCGGCAGCGGCGCCAACTTGATTACTCGAGTATTTAACCCGATAACTTAACCGAAGTAAAGTATATGCGGGATCGATCACAAGTAGCAATGGTACACTAAAGACTTTCGAGACTCGTTATCAGCTAAAGCGGAAAGACTTGCTGTTTGTTTTTCAGTTTTTGTAAATAAAAATGTGAATAAAGAGATTAAACTTATGAATTAAAGACATTGGGCTGCAGGGTATTTTCAGAGAATCAATGAATAACAAATAAAAGCAATAAGGAATTCAAACATGAAGAACCGTTCTTGAACATGAACAGAAGTTTAGACTAATTCTCTCTCAAGACATTAGTCACTAAATTTTAACTATTCAATTACTAAACTCTCATTTGTAATTTCCTAGCCAAATTTGCATTATCAAACAGGTTCATTTGGTTCACAAAGCGTTCTAACATCAACTCTCGCAGGTTAGAAATACAATGCTCAATTTACATTCATTCAAGCATTTTATCGAACATCTCTGAAACACATAAAAGCCTAAGTTCTAAAACAGGGTGATCAATCCTATTCTAGCATTGAGAACATGTAAATTGAAGAACATAATGATTAAGAATTCCCTAAGACAATTAAATCTATCAAATCATTGAATTCTCCTACTTGAAACCCTAAAACCCAATTTAGAGACTACTCAGACATAACAATCGAAACAAAGCAAATAGATTTTAAAGTAAACATGATTCAATAGATTAGAATAAGAAAAAGGTTTAGAAATCTTCTCCAAATTGTCAAAGAGGATCAATCTCTATCCCAGATGTTGCTTACAAGTCTAAAACTCAGAAAAACTGCTGTGAAAAAAACGTAGAATGAAAAACAGGTCTTTTTGGGTTTTAATACCCATTACAGAAGAAAATAGAAGCTAACTCCGGTTAAGGAAACCGAAATTGGAATGGACCGATCGGTCTAACGGATGGATCGATCGGTCTAACGGATGGATCGATCGGTCTTTAGGCGCCGGATCTTGTCCGGGTGATAGGATTGATCGATCCAAGGTGAGGACCGATCGATCTATGTTCTCTGTTCAGAGCCGGGTAAACGGATCGATCGATCTATGTTCTCTGTTCAGAGCCGGGTAAACGGATCGATCGATCCATTGTGGGGACCGATCGATCGTTTTGTTTCTGGAATGTGCCGTCCGGTCGGATCGATCGGTCTGGTGATGGACCGATCGGTCCATGTTCTGCATCAGCTAAAGTTCCACTTCCTTGCCCGAAACTGGTCCAAAACGCGTCAATTCTGCTCCAACCGCTTATCCCCTGCTCAAGACTCAAAACACGACTCGAAAGACACGAAAGACGGACTAAAATACGATAAACGACTCAAAATGTACATAAAAGAAAGGGTGAAAGACTCTAAAAACACTGTATATCAACTTGGTTGAAGACATTGCCATCGTGCTAGTAGCTGCAAAAGCTACAGGAATGACTTGTATAATTACAAAGAGTGGGTGAGTTTTATTAGAAAGCCCTCTTCAGAAATCATGAATGACATTCTTATCAACCAGAAATAAAAATGATCATTCATCTTTGGATTTGCAGATACAGTGCAGACAAAGATTTTGAGAATGCAGATGCTGTTTAACCTTGTAATGTAAAACCTTAAAAAAACTATTTAAAAAGTTGTACAAGGCTCTTATAAGGATTTACAAGGCTTTTATAAAGATTTTATAAAGCTTTTATAAGGTTTTTCAAAGGGGTTTTAAGAAATATTTTACAAAGTATTTAAAAGGTTTTACAATGTTTTATAAGGTGTTTAAATGTATATTAAGGTTTTCAAAACTATTTAAAAAGTTTTACAAGGCTCTTAGAAGGTTTAACAAAAAATTTATAATGGTTTTATAAGGTTTTTTATAAAGGTATTTTACAAGGTTTTGAAAAATTTTGATTTGTTTGTAATGAGTTTCTTCCTTCGTTATTATTTCAACTTCATGACCTTATAAAACCTTGTAAACCCTTATAAAAGCCTTGTAAATACTTTTTAAAAACCTTTTAAAAACTTTATAAAAACCTTGTAAAACCTTTTAAATACTTTGTAACACATTTTAAATACTTTTAGAAACCTTTTAAAACTTTATAAAATCTCTATAAAAGCCTTGTAAAACTTATAAAAGCCTTGTAAAATTTTTTAATAGTTTTGAGAACTTAAATATACATTTAAACACCTTATAAAACCTTGTAAAACCTTTTAAATACTTTATAAAACATTTTAATTACTTTTTAAAAGCCTTATAAAATCTTTATAAAAGCCTTGTAAAATCTTATAAAAACCTTTTAAGAAGCTTATTAATATTTTAAAAAGTTTTTATAAGGTTTTACAAGGTTTTTATAAAGATTTTATAATGTTTTTAAAATGTTTTTATGAAAGTCTTTATAAGCTTTTTATAAAGAATTTATAAAGCTTTTATAAGGTTTTAATAAAGTTTTTAAAAGGTTTTGAAAAATGTTTTGTAACAGTACTTTGTTATCTACCTATTTAAAGTTAGCAAGATTTTAAAAGAAACACTCGTAAATCACTTATTTATACAACATTTGTAAGCATTCATCTATATTAACATTTTTGAAGTACCTTTTGGAAAATAACCTTTTATTTTGTATTATTTGCATAATAAAAGCCATTTAAATAAATTACAAACTTTTAAGATAAAATTTGTAATTAAATTACACCAGAATCGCAAAATTAGAAACTAATATATTTATTACATTTAACAAAATTTCCTAAAATTTCTCCCAAATAAATTGAATATCTCTCCAATATCTTTATATGATCTTATTTGTTTTAAAATTTAAATTATTACATAAAACATAAGTATAATAAAAATACAAATTTTTTTCGCATATGTAGCAATTTGAATTTTTTAAAACGGACGTATACTACTCAATCGATAAAAGAAAAAACATATATGTATAACGTCCCACATCGGGTAGAAAATTTTAGACAATGGTTCGGAACCATTATAAATATGACTAATATGAAACTTAAAAATCCAAAATCTTGAATGAAAGATTACAACAAAAAAAGTTTTATTAAATTTTAGGGAATCCAAAATTTTAAAACCACAAAATTTTAAAATCTTGATTGGTTAAAAATGAGTTTTTGGAAAACAAAAACCAAAATCTCTTTCGAAATCTATAAAACATTCAAGGTTTATATATTACATAAATACGATTTAACGGGTTTGAGTTTTATGTTTTTCTTACGGGTTATCTTACGGGTTAACATAACAAAAAAAATAACAAATATAACTTAAACATAATTTTTTTGTCCCGCCAGTTACAAAACAATATCCCGCGAGTTAAGTAATAAAAATAACAATCAAAAATACAAGTACAGAATCTTTAAACACTAAAAACGTAATAAAATTAACAAATATAACTTAAATATATATATTATTTAGTCAAAACAATTGTACCTCCCGCGGTGTACCATACATTAATAGCTTCTCTGCACTAAAGCAAAGTAGTAGGCATCGTCCTACTTCTCTTTGCTCTTATGATTGCTGTATTTTTCTTTACCAGATTGCTGTAATTATTAGAGATCTGCAGAAAACAACCACATACATCAATCTCTGGTTTTTAAAATTCACACAATCAGTACATTAAACACAATTTTTTTATATTATTATTTAAATTCATTCAAGAATTTTGTAGAATCTGTCTAATTATATATACAGCTGAGCTAGGCTCGTGATGAAGAACCCACATCGTGAAACACTCTTACTCATTAGCAACCACACCAACTCTAGAGGGTAAAGCAGGGAAGAAGAACTAGAAACCACTAAAGTCAACCCAAAATCTCACACTAAGCCTAGTATCCACATCTAAACGTATACGATGAATCATGAGACAATAAAGCAACAATTCTAGCCTATTAAACAATAAACAAAAAGGCAAAAGATGAACCCTGGTTAAACGGTTGACGCAACACGCCACTAACACCACTTTAACAATGATAGTCCACGACAGATAATTAAACGGCAACCAAACCACCTAACACACAGCTAAACAACTCCAACATACCACCACCGGCTCATAACCAGTGCTAGTCAATTCGAATCACAAATCACAAGTCCTCAATTCTTCGATTCACTTCACAAATCTCCATTTTCCAGCCACAGTTCCCAACTGACACAAGTTCCCAGGGGAGTTCGAGAGAGAGGAGATCGACAAAGAGGAGATCTTTTAGAGTGGATATCAGTGATAGAGAGTGAGGATCTCGGTTGTATTGTCACGGCTGAGAGAGATCGCCGTCGAGAGAGAAAGAGAGAATGGTGAAAGTGATAACTTTTTAGGTTAAATCAATTAAGGGTTATATTGTCTTTTTTAATCAAAACAGGGGTATTTTTAAAAATGTTCTCTACATTGGAGTATTTTTAAAAATGTAATCCCAAAAAGGGTATTTTTAAAATTGTCCCTTTTTTTAATTGATAATTTAATCTATTTAATATAAAATTATTATTTTTAATTAATTTATAATATTAAATATAGGCCTGCGGGCCGGCCCGTTAACCCATAGGATTTAGCAGGGCGGGCTTGGACGCTACTTTGATATACGCGGTCCTACTGGGCCGACCCGTTGCGGTCCAAAAACAAATAATGTCCGTCGCGGGCAGGCCAGATGGACGCGGGCCGGCCCGTCTGACTCATGAGAACGATAACTAAATATCTTGCATCATGGGTTTAACCATGATGGGCTGCAATTTTGTATAGAAATGATTTAAATGGGCCGCTGTACATATTTATTCTTTGATAGATTTATAAACGGTTATGTCGATTATTTTCAGTCCAACCAACGAAGATATAACGATCCAATTAGCATCTTGGATCGGGTATTAAAGAGACACGCGGATCTGGTCTAATTTTGGAGCAGACAAATTTATTTTCCTAAATTACCACTTCCGATTTTGAAATTATGTCTCTAATAAGCAAAATTTGAAATCAATTTCTTGATTTAAAGGTTAAATTTGTCTAATTTTTAACTATGTCCAATTTGTACTTCTCTTTTAATTATAAGAAGATGACAAGAAGAAGCCATGTAACAAAATCTCGCACAGAACAAGGGTGACGCCGGAACAAATCTGATAAGGTAGGATTTAGTTGATTTCAATAACGTTACCTGTTTATATTTTTTATTGGCCAATGTTATGTTAATATGTTAGCGCATCAATGAGCTTATGTGCGTACACTTTAGGTTTTACAGAATAATTTTAATGTTATTCTCACAATTTTCATTGATACTTTAAAGTTTATTAAACTTCTTTTTTCTCTTTTATATGAGAAGGAGGAGCCGTGGAACACAGCCTCGCACATAACCAGGTTGAATTCGGTGACAAATCTGATAAGGTAGGCGTTAGTTGATTTAAATAAAATTATATGTTTATATATATTATGTTTAGGTTAACTTATATTTATCGTCCCGCTAACATATCTTGCGGTCATGGTGTTTGTTGTAGGTTAGTGAGAAAGCCGACGGTCGTGCATAAGATGAAATGTCTATCGACCAACTATTTTACCAACACAACCCAAAATATAATTTTATCTAATTACAAAATCTAAAGCCTAACCAATATTTTGTCAACCCGAACAGAAATATAATTTTGTCTAATTACAAAATCTAAACCCTAACCACTATTTTGTCAAACCAAACCGAAAATAATTTCTTTTAATTACAAAATCTAAACCCTAACCACTATTTTGTCAACCCAAACCAAAATATAATTTAGTTTAATTACAAAATCTAAACCCTAAACATTATTTTGTCAACCTAAACCGAAATACAATTTTGTTTATTTATAAAATCTAAACCCTAACCACTCTTTTATAAACCCAAACCGAAATATATTTCAACGAATTCGATAACACTGTTCATTCGGTATAGTATTTGTAATGTGTTAAATAAATTGTTATCACGGTACTTTACATATTATATGTTAAATTACTCGTTATTGCTATATAAATGAAAAATATATTTTATATAAATCAGTAATATTTTATATATAATTTCCTTTAATTACAAAATCTAAACCCTAACCACTATTTTGTTAACCCAAACCAAAATATAATTTCGTTTAATTACAAAATCTAAACCCTAACCATTATTTTGTCAACCCAAATAGAAACACAATTATGTTTATTTATAAAATCTAAACCCTAAACATTCTTTTATAAAACCCCAACCGAAATATATTTCCACAAATTCGATAAAACTGTTCATTCGATATAGTATTTGTAATATGTCAAATAGTTTGTTATCGCGGTAATTTAGATATTATATGTTAAATCAATCGTTATTGCTATATAAATGAAAATAATTATTTTAAATAAATCAATAAATAACGAGTTATCAATTTTAATTAAATGTTACCAAACGCACCGCTAAATCTAACACGACTACCAAACAACTTCTCTCCGCAATCTCCACCGAAGAAACTCCGGCATAAGTTCATCCGGCGGCGCCGCTTAGAAAATCCCGGCGAATAACCTCCGTAACTGGACTAAACCCTTCTTCTCGAACCCTTGCTCCGTTTTCACCCGCACGTGGACTCGTCAGCATTACCGGTATCATAGATTTTTAAGCTTTCGGAGTACAATAATTCCCGCTGTTTGTGCCTGGTGAAGAACCTAGAAATGCTGGGGATGGAGAGGGAGGAGAAAACGACGTCTTTGATGAAGAACATGTTGATACGACACTAAATGATGCATATGTTTGATCGAGAGTTGTAGTACTTGTGTCGTGCTGCAAGTTGTTTCTCTCTTGTGAGTATTTTTAGAAGATTGTAAAACCTTATATATATATGTAATTTGTGAATAATATGATAGTTATTCTTTGATTTAAATTCATTATATTATTTTCTCAATTGTTTGATAATAGAAAATTAAATAAATTTTGTTGATTAAATAGTCACGTAGAAAAAATTATCTTGTAAATATTTTATATGATCTACTGATTTATTATACTGAAAAACAATCAAGCTTTCTCTAATTTCAGTATTTATCATATATTTGACCATGCTAAAAAAATATCTTTAATTCTTCTCTTATAAATGAACTTTTTAAAATTAGAAAATATGTTATAAATAATTGAATACCCATATTAACAACTTTAAAAAGGTATCTTTAAAGGAGTGGGAAAAAAAGTCATAGCAATTTTCTTTGAATAAAAACTTATAACAACTCCATTTTATGTTTAGCTTATATGATATTTAATTTAGTTAGAAACTAAAATTAGGGGAAACATATTTTCGCAACAATGACACTTTTTAAAAAGCAAACTATACATATAACATATAACTTACAACACAATATCATAAAGAAAATAATTTTGAAATGTTAGATTAGAATTTAATAAAATGACACATGTCAGAAGCATAGAGCGACAAATGTGACATTGTGAGGCAAAGTTAAGAAGAAACCTTGTCTTATTATATAATATATATATATATATATGCAAACTCAGGTGACGAATATTGCCACAGGAACACAAGCGACGGTGAGAACCTTTGATCAATGTAGTAACAGCGGTTTGGACTTAGATGACGGCGATTTCAGGCGGCTTGATACTAACGGTCAGGGTTACGCTCGTGGGGACTTAATTGTTAACTACCAGTTTGTCAACTGCTGAAGATTTTCAGGTTCATCCAATACCCGCCTTGCATCTTATTATTTACAGTCTTTCATAAACCTTAAGATAAAATAAATTACTATCATGGTGTCAGTCTTTAACAATAAAGATAATTCTACAAATGTATGTTTGAAACTTGTATGATGCAATTTACTAAGAAATAAAATTAAAAATAATGACAGAATTTACTTTATATAATAATGAAAAGCAGTTTCAAGAAATCACTTTTTGTAAGTTGTAATTAAATTTCCATTTCGAAAATATAATAATTATTGTCTCGACATAATCTGAAAACCCACAATCATGCAATATTATATATATAGTGTCCTTCTTTTGGTAATATCAAATATTAATCCTAAGGTTACATGGTTTAATTAATGGGAAAAATATCAATTTAACCCTGAAGTGTCAACGCCATTTAAACCCTGAACTTTGCGCAACGCCATTTAAATCATGTAGTTCTATTTGACTATCATTTTAAACACCACATTTTATTAACCAAGCAGCATTACACATTTCATAAAATGTATAAACCGATCAGCTAAACCCCAGTTAACATCTGTTAAACCAGCCGTTAATAACTAAACGCTTCGTTTTGTGCCTGTGTTTTGTCCCTGATGGAGCTCCACCAGAAGGAGTTTCGGAGGTTGAGATCGAAGGCAGATTTCAAGCTCCACGACAAGGTGATTCAAAGGATGAGGTAAGATATGGTGTTGGAGCACCTATGCAAGGCCTTTCAGAGGCCGAGATCGATGATAGAGTTCAACAACAAGGTGTTTCAGAGGTTGATGGTGGAGATGAAGTTCAAGCTCCACCTGCTGAAGGCGTATCTGAGTCTGTTGTCGAAGTTACACAGCGACGTGGAAAATAAAAAAGAAAAAGAGGTGAAGAGCCTGAAGTGGAGCTTGACAGTGAGGATGACTGCGTGGTATATGATGATGATGACTTCGATGATGTTGACGATGGAGTTGTTGGTGGAAATAACAAAATACATGATGGTTTATGTGTTGATGAATATGTTAACGAAAACATTGTAGACGACTTCCCAGAGACTATTAGGGGAGAAGAAGCTGGTTCTGATTCTGATAGCGGTGGTGATATCTGGAACGATGATTGTAACACCCGTGTTCCGGATTGGGTGGTGTCGATCGACACCACTGAAGGGTGTCGCTCGACACCACTGAAGGGTGTCGCTCGACACCAGCACTTTTTCGGTTAGACAGGTATGATTTTAATTGCAAAACGTGTAGTTATTGATTGGTTAAACCTAAGTGCGACTTTAAAAGAGGAAAAGTGTCGACCTAGTGTTTTGTCAGCCGCTTTTGTTCTTCTCTAAAAGTTTCTAAGTTCTCCAGTGAGGGTTTGTAAGGTTTGAGAGTGACTTGAGGCCTGTTCTTAGTGATTCTATCCTAAAGAAGAGAGATCTCATAGCTTTGGTGTAAGGAGGGTCTTTTTGTTGTTTTTGTGAGGTTTTCGTCCTTGTTTCAGTCCCTTTTCAAAGGTGAGTGCATGACTAAGCTGATCTAAGCAGCTTTGCTGGATATTTTGGGTGTTTTCTCTGATTCATGATTGATTCATTTGCTTGTATGCTTGTTTATGTGTTATGGTGTCTTGGTACGAGCCTGTGGAGATGATAGTTTTGTTTTGGAGGACAAGAGATGGCTGATCCGTCGATGAGAAGCGACTGGAGCGAAGTTAGGGCTTCGGTATCGATCGACACCAGTGGCGAGTGTCGATCGACACCAACTTTCTTTCTCGCGAGGATGGTCGCGAGTGTCGAGCAACACCAGTGGATGGTGTCGATCGACACTACTCGTCAGATCGGGTTGTTTTGTGTTGTTGTATGGGTTAATACTTGAATGTGTTCATTACTGCTTGTGTGTATGGCCAGTAGTGGGATGATTGCCTCACTAAGTATGTATGAAATATTTATGCATCTCTTTTCTGTGATGCTGGTAAAGAAAATGTGTGATCCGTGGAATTATGGCGAGGAGAGAAGGATGATCTAGGGCTCGTTGGTGTTCTTGAATTATTGTTGGATTTTTTAGGTTGCTAGACTGGAATTTAGAAGCACGTTAGGATGATTATGTTTTGGATTAATGTTTGTTGAACTTGTTGGTTTAATGGAATTGTTTTATTGGATTTTTGGTTAAGTCTTCTGTTGGTTAAATGTTGGCTGGTTCAGTTTAATGGAATTGTTTATTTAATTGATTTAAATTAATTAGGGCCGGTTTAACTGGGTTAGTGGTTTAAATTGGTTAGAGCCGGTTTACCTGGTTTAGCTGATTTTAATTAATTGGGTTAATCTGATCTGCATATTATATAAAAAAAATGAGATGGATTATTTCAATGATAAACTTCCAGATCCTTTGTCATCTGATGACGAAGAGGAGGTCGAAGACAAAGAAGATACATGTCGTATAGATGTTAATGATCCAGAGGCTTTGTTAGCAGTGAAAAAACTTACAACTCTCCCGAAGAATTCAAGCTTGCATTGTTGATGTATTCACTGAAGATAAGGTATGACATTAAACTTTATAGGTCTCAAGCTTTGATGGTTGGTGCCAAGTGTTGCTATGTTGATGATGATGGTCTTAAATGTCCGTGGAGAGTATATGCTTCATATGAGAGGAAGAAACATAGAATACATATAAGAGTATATGTAAATGAGCATATATGTTAGGTCTGGTTACTCAAAGATGTTGAAGTCGTCTTCTATTGCATTTTTGTTTGAAGAAAGGCTGAGACTGAACCCAAAGCTTACTAAATACGACATGGATGCTGAGATTAAGAGGGAACGCAGATTGCCCTGATTGCCCTAAATTGCAACTCATATTACAATCTTGGAGAGGAGAAGGTGAAGAAGAAGAAGTCGAGCTTAAATCGTGAAGAGGAGAGGGTGAAGAAGATGAAGCTCGAATCAGGGTTCTAAGTAATTTGGGGATTTTTGATCTTTTGAAAGCAGACGAAATGAAACGTTTAGCCGTTAACGGCTGGTTTAACAGATGTTAAATGGGGTTTAGCTAATCGGTTTATACATTTCACGAAATGTGTAATGTTGCTTGGTTAACAAAATGTGGTGTTTAAAATGATAGTCAAACATAACTACATGATTTAAATGGCGTTGGGCAAAGTTCAGGGTTTAAATGGCGTTGACCAATAACTTCCGGGTTTAATTCACATTTTCCCTTTTAATTAATTAATAGTTTTTTTATAGATTGGCTTTGAGTATTTTTATTCAAATCTTATAATAAGGTAGTAATATTAAATCTTTTTTTTCCTTTTAATTATATCAGATATTGATCTTACACGGATTGGAAGATATCTCCTTTCCCAAGTCGAAACAGGAGTCAGGAGTGAATCAACAAACATAATTAGGTCTTATAAATAGATTATATCGCATGCCATTACTGAATCATTGCATATTTCGCTTTCTTATTTGTCCAAGAACAAGAAAATCAACGAGAGATCGAGGCAAAACCTAAAATTTAAAGAGAGCTAGCTATTGTTACTATGGGGAAGATGATTAGAGAACCTCTGGGTGTTGCCGAGTCTTCATTGAAGCATGTCTCTGTTCTTGGCAGAGGGGGCTTTGGTTCTGTCTCTCTCGAACGGCATTCTAACTTGCGACTTTATGCTAAAAAGTCATCTTCGTTCAGTAACTTGAAGAATCTCGATAAAGAGCGTAGGATCATGCTCTATTCCCGCGATCATCCTCGCATCGTCCAGGCCTTAAGCTCTCTTCTTCACTTAACAAGCCAACCAGAAGGATGTCGCATCTATATGGAGTTTTCCTCCAAAGGCACCCTCTTCGATATGATCACCCAGTTTCGTGGGAAACCAATGCTGAGAATATGATCGGACGTGCCGCACTTATGATCCTACAAGGACTCGACGCTCTTCACTCACACGGCTACGTTCACTGTGACCTCAAGCCAGCCAACGTCCTCGTCTTCCCTTCCCTTGCTGATTTCGGTTCATCTAAAGAGCCTTGTACGGATTCTAGGTCGTATTTCCTGGTACGTTGCACTACATGCCGCTAGAATCTCTTGGAGCGGACTGGGTGATGGGATCGTCGGCCGTTGATATATGGTCTCTCGGGTGTATGGTTATTCAGATGTTTGGAGGTTGTCCAGTGAAGATGAGAGAATGTTACTTGTGGGGGCTTCCCAAACTTGTCTCTCCAGTGCCCATCGACTTCTTGAAGCGGTGCTTGGCGTTGCAGCCGTCACGTAGGGCCACAGCGGCCGAGCTGTTCAGCCATCCTTTTGAGGCGCAAAGAGACAGTACTATTGTTACAGTCACAGAGATGCTTATGTTTCTTTCTTTCTTAAGGTTTCCTTTCTCCATAATGGGCCAAGTGGTAGAAGAATATTCTAGATTACAAGGAGGAGTGAGGGTTTGAAGATCTCCAAGGAGTTTCATGTTCGATAGTTAAGAGTCATATATTAGGTTCTGTTGGGTTTGGGGTTTTAACTTGTTTCTATTAATATAGATAGTGTTTATCTATAACTTGTACTTATCATGTGTAGACATCGTAATCTCCTAGAGCAGATTACGATCGTAACAATCTTAACAACTTGTTGTATAAATATATGAACTTTTGTATTGAATAAACTTATCAGTTATCATTCTCTACATGGTATCAGAGCAAAGATCTCTAAACCTCTAAACCGTTTTTCTTCTTCTTCTTTAATTCTCTAAAATTTTTTTTTACGCCTCCCTCTTATGGCTTCTGATTCATCATCCTCATCCTCGGAGATCACCCCTGTCTTCAACATCTCAGATCCGAAAAACATGTTGATCTCTCTCAACATGTTCAACATCACCAAGCTCAACGCCAACAACTTAATCACGTGGCGACTCCAAATTCGTGCCCTCCTTGAGGCTCATGAACTTCATTGTTTCATCTCCGATGATGACAAAACACCACCAGCTACCGCTGACTCTGCCACTGCTAAGGATCAACCCAATCCTGCCTTTCAAGTTTGGACACGACAAGACAGACTCTTGTACAGTGCCTAACTTGGATCTCTCACTCTTGCGATCCAACCCATCGTCGCCCGTGCAACAACTACTCGTGAAATCTGGCAGACTCTCTATCGCACATATGGCAAGCCCTCTCGTGGTCATGTCAAACAGGTTCGCCAACAACTGAAACAGAGCACTAAAGGCTCCAAAACGATTAATGAGTACATGCCTGGAATCATTGATAAGTCTAACCAATTGGCTCTTCTTGGAGCTCCCCTTGATCACGAAAATCTGCTTCACTTCATCACTGAAAGCCTTGGTGAAGATCTAGGCCCAATAGCTGTTATCTGAACTACGTCTTGTACTACAACGTCATCCATCTAAACTCATAAACTAAAAGTTAGATGCCTTTCTAACATAAATTAGTTTTATGCTCTAAGAATACTCATACCAAATAAGATTTTTTTTTTAAAAGTCAGAACTACGAAACTAATGGAACCAAGTACAAATTTAGAGGTCGAGACTCTATATTTATAGTTGAACTATAAATCTGTAAGTGGATAAATACCATGTTAAGTATTCTGTCGTTGCATCAACATCATTGTCAAGAAAAATCCTAGTGGAAGAGGTGGAGGAGAGACAGAACATATCTGCATCATGCAAATTAAATACGTTGATTATTTTGAGTGGTTTATATTACTGCAATTGATAATATGTTCATATAACAACATTAATTTTTCATAGCTAGATAGCATATTAAGCAATGGTAATCATAGAATTGAGATTACAAACTTCTAACTGTCCTTGGGTTCACAGCAGTAGCAAGGAGAACGACAGGTTTACTGGTATGTTTCATCAATCTTTTTCAGAAATTGGCAGCAATATTGTCCCAAAGAGTAAGACGAACTACTGGCCCGCTGATAAGAAACATAGAAAGGCATAGAGTGATAAATGTCGTTTATGTGTAAAGCTTTTAAATTTAAGTAAAGGGAAAAAATGACTTACTCTCTTAGCTGTAAATGAACTTCTATTTTCCCTTTGATCACACCATTTGGTTCCTCATCATTGATGTTGCTGGAGCTGTGATCATCAATGATGACTAGCTTTCCAATTGCATCTACGTGGAGCATGTTTACAGTTAGAATATATATGGTGATATTATTTAAAAAAACATACCAAATAGGTTTTCGTTCATGTCGACAGCTTCTTCAAATTCTACAAAAGAACGGATTCTTAACTTTTGCTTTTCAATTGTTTCCCCAGCATCGACAACCTCATATATCCAACTTTGTTTGTTGAGTAAACTGGATCAGAAACTTGTGAGAAGACACCTTGTAGTTTGTCTTGTTGTTACTGACCAAGAAGTTCTTAATTTTGTAGACAACACCAGGTTTGAGATTCTCCTCGTAGCAACTTATGAGATGGTTAACGTTTTTAAAAAATTAGTTACCTTATGGTCGATTAGCAGCAGTTCTAGCCCCATAAGCAAGCCTTTTTTTGGGGTTTCGTGCTTCCCAGAAGTGGATGACCCTAACAACAACCTCTTGGTTAGTAAAACCCTTTGATAGCTCATCAAAAACTAAAGAGGTATGTAACTGAGCAGAAGGAGAAATTGCAGGGGACATTATAATCCAATGAGTTCTCTGATTTATCTTTTAAGAACTAAACGTTTTGGTAAAGCTTATGTTTAGAATGATATTGAGTTTGTTCCATTCTATGTTTTTGATGACTATTTATATATAAACCCAGAACTAAGAATTTAGAAAATTTGCTAAAATTTTTTTTTGATATTAAGTAGTTTTTTTCCCTTTTGGCTTGAATTAATACTTCGTTTACCATTATTAACGTGTTTTTAAATTATGTTGTTTAGTCGTAGCAAATTTCCTCTTAGTTTAAACAGAAATACATATTTTCTAAAACTAATATTAACAAATTTACAGGTTTCTGATTTAATATTTTTTATTTTAAATGCTGGCATCTATATTAAGCAAATTCCCCTTTTTATTTATAATAAAGGAGATTAAAATTCCTTCTAAGATTAGGAAAATTTGAATAAACCAATTAAATGAAAGTGGGTTGTGTTTACGATGGATTGTTTATTTTGTTGAATTAAGGAAATTTTCATTTAATTCTGATTTTAAGATTTACATGGAGCTATATGATTGGTTGTTTAAACTCCTATTATATAATTAAAAAATAAGAAGATTAAGAAAATAGGAATACAAAATGTAATTTTTATATATTTCATATATTTTTTGCAAAAGTTTACAATTCTCTTTTTTTTTTATATTTCTTTTTCTTTTTTATTAATGTTTTTATTATAAAGAAATAGAAATTAAAAATGTTAATTAATAAGATGGAAAAATGTTAACTAATTAGATGTCTAATCCCGATTGGTCGTTTAAAATCCCACGTGGATGTTCTCAAAATCTTATAGCCTCAACTTTTATATAGAGACTATGTTTTGAACCCACACGTAGGTATATTTGATATATTGTGTTTTTATCGGTTTTAAGTATTTCTTTTCTCTTTTATTTTATAATTTTTATTGAGGCAAAGAGTGTTTTTAGAGTCTTATAGTCCAGTATAGAGTCTTTACAGGTTTTAGGTTGCTTTAAAATAACGCGAGCCGTTTAGGGATGCAAACACACAATTGGAGATGCAGATTCATGTATACGTGTCAGATGTTTGAGATCATATGGACAACTTTTCACCATTCGATCTTGCTCATATTTTGGACACAAGATGAAGACAGATGTTAGCTTTCATTGTCAAGTGCGTTCAAGAAACTCTAACGGTGCATTCACGAGTTACACCCGATTTTGTGAAGACAGGTCATTCTAACGAGTTGTTGAAGCTGATGCAGAAGTAAAACCTGGGAGCGTTAGACCGATCGGTCTAACATTTGGATTGATCGGTCCCTTACCTCTGAAGCATTTTTTGGCCCATATTCGATCCGAAACACTTCAGAACCGACCCAAATCGTCTATTATTGTTTTTATACCCTAGGCTCGACTTTTTAGCAGCCATCCTTCATATTTTTGAGTTCTAAACCTTGTTCTCTGCTTTCAAAACAATTCTGGGATAGAGATTGATCCTCTTTGACAATTTGGAGAAGATTTCTAAACCTTTTTCTTATTCTAATCTATTGAATCATGTTTCCTTTAAAATATATTTGCTTTGTTTTAATTGCTATGTGTGAGTACTTCTTCAATTGGGTTTTAGGGTTTTAAATAGGAGTTTCAATGATTTGATGGAATTGATATATTAGGGAATTCTTAATCTTTAGGTTCTTCAGTTTACATGTTCTCAATGCTAGAATAGGATTGATCACCCTGTTTGAGAACTTAAGCTTTTATGTGTTTCAGAGATGTTCGATAAAATGCTTGAATAAATGTAAATTGAGCATTGTAATTCTAACATGCGAGAGTTGATGTTAGAATGCTTTGTGAACCGAATGAACCTGTTAGATAATGCAAATTTGGCTAGGAAATTACAAATGAGAGTTTAGTAATTGAATAGTTAAATTTAGTGATTAATGTCTTGAGAGAGAGTTAGTCTAGACTTGTGTTCATGTTTAAGAACGGTTCTCCATGTTTGAATTCCTTATCGCTTTTATTTGTTATTCATTGATTATCTGAAAATACCCTCCAGCTCAATGTCTTTAATTCATAAGTTTAAGTCTCACTTTCTTTTTGCATTTTTTATTTACAAAACTGAAAACCAATCAAAAACCTTTTACGCTTTAGCTAAGAATGAGTCTCGCAAGTCTTTAGTGTACCATTGCTCCTTGTGATCGATCCCGCATATACTTTACTTCGGTTAAGTTATCGGGTTAAATACTCGAGTAATCAAGTTGGCGCCGCTGCCGGGGAGCAATTGCGTTAACTAAAGATTTAGGATTAGTTTTTAGTCTAGAGCATTTTCTTTGCAGTATTTTTTTTTCTAACGGACAATATTTATTTCTTTTTGGTGATTTAGGAGTTGTTGGCCATGGAATTCAATGATTGGCCACAAGAAGAAGAGGATGAGCCATATATAGAGCCACCATTTGATGAGAGTGTTCTTACACCGGAACACAAAGTGAAGTTGGATTAACTTTACATAGAGAATCCAACATTGATAAGGAGTGACTTAGCGACTATGATCCGGTTGAACCTCATATCGTTGCGGGCAGCATACGAAGGAAGGCAACTCACATGTTATAAGATCAAAGAAGCCCATGATCTTGAAAAGGTAATATACTGGGTTCCACCGAGCGACATAGAAGGTACATGCGTTTCAACCCTTGAAATTCATGATTTTGAGGATTTTTCTATGCCTTGCATTGAAGATGTTGCTTCTAGTTTGCGTACTCCCAAGATTATCAGTGAATGTTATGATTTGATAGGTGAGTCTCAACAGCTAGATACTTTTAGAGCAGAAAAACTTGCT